TAAAAAAATAAATTTTGCCCAAAGTATTTGGGCAATTTCGGCTACTAATAGAAGCAGTTTCAGCCAGAAACCTTATTACTCACATGTTTAAATTTTTACATCTGCAAAAGATTAAAGCTGAACATCAAAAAGATGGATTAAAATTATATTGGAGTGAAATTATACGTGAAAAGGGGAAGGTGAATTAAATATTATTCATCATTACCTTAATTTCTTACTAACTTCATTTATTATGTAAAAAAAGATTGCAGTTAAGGAATTGCACCTTACTGGGAGTCTCAAACTGCTAGGTGCTTCTGTAAAGAAAAATGTACAAGAATTAATAACTGATTTGAATATATTACCAAAACAAGATGAAAAAAATCCTTTAGAGGTAAATATCATTAGTGGTTTTAAGTTAAAAGAGCATAACAAATTCATGTATGATATATCTTAGATCAAAGAAGTCATCAATGACATTGAAGATGTTGAAGATGAAAATCAAGGTTAAGGTTTATAAAAATAAAATCAAGTTACAATTGACGAAAACCAGCTAAGAAACTGAATGAATTCTCTACAATAGGTGCTAGCAAGGGGCTTGAGTTGGAAGTAAATGATGAGGAAGAGGACCACCCAAAAATCAACAAGGCAGCCTTTCATGAAGCATATAAGTCTATTCCAATTCTTCAAAAATGTGGTTAAGCACAGGAAAAATAGTAGAAGATGTTCTCTTCAATTTTTGTAAAAATATGGATAATGAGCAGTAAGCTTTTGAATCTCAACTTTTTTCTTGCATCTTGAAACTCAATTTCTTGATACTGAGATGCCACCAGCCATGCTCATTCATACATTATAGATTGTGATGACGTGGAAATTAAATCATTGTTTACCGAAATGGAATGGAAGGAACTAACAGAATATCAATTGGGAGTTCCTGCTATTCCAACCCATATTGCAAAAGAATTGTTGAAATATGGCAAGAAGACCTTAGGAGAATTGCACAAGATTGTAATGACATCGTATCTTCAGGATGATGATGTATATGACATCCAACAACATTATGATATGGAATGGATCCAGATGTCTGTAACACTTACAAATTTATATGAAAATACAGATTTTCCTTTAGTACGAAGTCATTATGAAGACTGGTTTACCATAGCTCTTTTTGGGAATTGCATAGATTTTTGTATGAGAGATATGCAGTTAGGAACTGACATAAAGAGGTCTTTACCATTCTTTCACTGATGCAACTACCATCGCTAAATGTCAATTAACACAGTTTTGTTTATTGTATTTATAGAACTGATGTGCCATCGTTGGCTTCTGCTAACAGGAAAAATCATGCCTGGTTAACTGATGAACGGAAGCCAACTGGCTGAAAAATTGATGGAATAATCTATGTTATTGACAGGCTTCTTGAGATAGGGGCGATTGAGGCAGCAAGAACTTTTATGGGTGACTCAGATTGGAAGTACCTCCTTGAAAAGTTTAAGATGCCAAAGATACTTCGTGATATGCTAGCAGATATTATCAGGGGTGTAAACTATGAAGAAGAAAGAGTGAATAAACTTCAAGTATTTGGGATCCTACATCTCAGATTAAGGGTTCAAGCTACAAGGTTGTGGTGGGTCAATTACTATTTTCTATAAGGATCCCAAAATACATTATATAAATAATAAATTTTCAGTAGGAGTTAAAAATTTTCTCAAGTTCCTAGCTATGATATACCAATATAAGGTAAAAAATTTACTGGCAAAAACACTGAATCTTTTTCAGCGTTTTCCTGTGAATGAGATAAGATATAACATATATCCTTTATTTTATATTTTTGTACTCTTGCATATTTCTCTTTTGATTTTCCTAATCATTTAAACTTTGTTTATACAGGTCATTATGAAGAGCAATTTAAACATCATCCTAGGTATCAAAGAATGCAATGCAAATTTTGAGTCAGGAGAAGATGATTTATTGAATGAGTTGATGGGATTTAGTCGTGCATACAAATTGTCTACACCTCCACCTTCCGTACCTTTGATTCAATTTTTTGCTGATAATGAAAAGACCCCAAAAAAATCCAAGTTAGAGAAAACAACTTTGTTAAAAAAAAGAAAACTAAATTCTATTCAACATCATTTATTTTAATATGACAAGCTAAATAAAGGATAATATATCAATATTTGCAAATTTATATATATAATATATACCATACAGATAATTAATTACAAATCGCCAACATTTTCTAACGTGTATATCATGCAATATATCAGTTGGAGATATTGTAGATCAAAAGTCATTCATTCTGACCATTACACGAATTAAACTATCTCAATAATAATAATAATAATCAGTTCATTAAGTAAGTCCACTTAAAATATCTTGAATTATGTATGGTTAAAATTTGAGAAAAATTGGTCTGGTATAGACAACGAAACGTAAAAGCTCAAGAATATGTATTCTGTTGACTTTTATTAAATAATAAAATTAATAAAAAATAAATAAAACGTTTAGCAAAAGCCAGTCAGTCAGTATCTTGTTGGATTGCCATGACTATCTATGACGGCTTTCACTCTCCTCGACATACTATCAACTAAATTCTTTATTACTTTGGGTTCAATTTTTACCCATTCCTCTTTCAATGCAACAATCAAATCTTTTTTATTTTTAGGATGTAGCATCCTTTCTCGAACTTTTCTTTCTAAAACATTCCACAAATGTTCAATGGGATTAAGGTCGGGACTTTGTGCAGACCATTGAATATATGAAATTGAATGTTCATCTTTCCATTTAATTGTATCATTTGCTGTATGTGCGGGGGCATTATTATCCTGGAAGGAATATGTCAATTGACAATCTAAACTATCTAAAAAAGGAATTAAATTCTCTCCAAGTATTTCTCTATATTTTGAACCAGTAATACGACCATCAACTTCAACTAATGGTCCAAGTTTGCCATTTACAAAACAACCCCATACCATAACTCCATCACTGCCATGTTTTACTATTGGGATTGAACAGTCAATGTCATGCTTTTCTTGTGGTCTACGCCACACATTATGATGAGAATCACTTTGAAATATTTCAAAACGTGATTCATCACTCCATATTATTAAATCTCATTCATCAACCCAATTTTTTCTTAGACGACACCATGCTAGATGATCTTTTCTGTTTTTTTCACTTGTAAGAGGTTTTCTCAATCCAGCACGACCATAATAACCTAATTCATGAAGATATCTACGTACAGTTGAAGAACTTACAGATAAATTAGTTGTTTCATTAAATTGGTCAGTGACATCGAAGAGAGTTTGTGTTCTATCTTTTTTAACAATTTTTATAAGACTTCTTTTATCACGAGCTGATGCTATTACTGGTCTACCTGGTCTTAGTGTTGATTTTATTTGCCCCCATCTCTATATCTTGCTATTGTATCGTGAATTGTTGTTTTTTTATGCTCAGTTTTTTTTTTGAATCCCTCTTTCGCTTCCCACATACCAATAATCCTTCCGCATTCAAAATCAGAAAGTTCTGTTGATTTCTCATATTATTTTGACTAAAAAAAATTTGCGTTTTAAGCTTTAAAATAAAAAAAAGATTATCTAATTTGGTTAGAAATT